AGTGGTTAGATGCGGGAATCATCTTCCCAATCTCTGACAGTAATTGGGTTAGCCCAGTTCAGTATGTGCCAAAGAAGGGTGGAATGACTGTAGTGCTCAATGAGAATAATGAGTTGATCTCAACTCGTACAGTTACGGGTTGGCGAATTTGTATGGATTATAGAAAACTGAACACAACCACCCGGAAAGACCATTTTCCTTTACCATTCATTGACCAAATGTTGGATAGACTGGCAGAGAGGTCTCACTTCTATTTTTTGGATGGGTACTCGGGGTACAATCAGATTTCTATAGCCCCTGAGGATAGAGAGAAGACATCATTCACTTGCCCGTATGGTATCTTTGCCTTTCGGCCGTTTGGCCTATGCAATGCACCGGCCACCTTTCAGAGGTGTATGTTAGCTATTTCTACTGACATGGTTGAAGATATTATGGAAGTCTTTATGGATGATTTCTCTGTGGTAGGGGATTCGTTTGAAGACTGTCTGCACAATTTAAGAAGAGTATTAAAAAGGTGTGTAGAGACAAATTTAGTGTTGAACTGGGAGAAGTGCCATTTTATAGTACAAGAAGGTATAGTGTTGGGGCATCGAGTGTCCAGTAAGGGTATTGAAGTTGACCATGCTAAGGTTGAGGTGATTGAGAAGTTGCCACCGCCCACTTCAGTTAAGGCAGTAAGAAGTTTCCTTGGGCACGCCGGGTTCTATAGGCGATTTATAAAGGATTTCTAAAAAAGTACTAACCCCTTATGTAAACTCCTTGAAAAGGATCATTCTTTTGTGTTTTCTGATGACTGCAGGTTAGCCTTTGAGGAGCTGAAAAGGAGACTGGTGACTGCACCAATCATCGTTGCGCCCAACTAGGAGCAACCATTTGAGCTCATGTGTGATGCAAGTGACTATGCTATAGGAGCAGTCATGGGGCAGCGGAAGGACAAACTGGTGCACCCAATTTACTATGCAAGCAGAATGCTGAGCGGTGCACAACTCAATTATACCATGACTGAGAAAGAGATGTTGGATGTGGTGTTTGCATTCGACAAATTCAGGTCTTATTTGATTG